GAGACTTGGACTGCACTTGACTTTCTTCCTCCCCTTCCAGCCTGTAGATGCTACTCAGGCACCACGAGCTGTGCTCCCAAAATGCTGCCGTGGACGTCCAAAACTTAATTTAATGAGACTTATTTAATTGACCTTTAAAAATTCATTTTGTCCTTTAAAAAGGAACACTTAACAGGAGCAATGGTATTTGGAAAACTTAATGTCTATTCTCCATTTGGTTACTGTAGATAAGCCTTCCACATGCTTCCATTTCAAAGCTCACGATGTTTGCAAAATGGTATGCTAATTGAAATAATGTTAGAGGTTTAAAGCTGTCCAAAATTAAGCTGTTCAAAGTACTGATAATTTCAAAGAAGTGTTAAAGTTTTTTATATTAGGAGAAAAATATGTACTTATAAAACAGATATTTTCTTTGGTTCTTGATTATAAATTCTTATACCTGAAAGTATTAATTTAATATCTCTTATAGGATATAAGGGTTTTGCATAAATGCTATGTGTAAAAAATAACAATAAGTTCATTGGAAATATTTCCTGTATATTTGTTGGAGATTGGGGATTCCAAAGAAAATTTAATTTTCTCAGTAAACCATGACTATGCAACAGTTGTTTTTCTCGTCTTAAAAGAAACTTTTTCTATAGCCTAGTGGTTCTCAACCAGAGGTGATATTACCCCCTGGAAGACATTGTCACAACTTTAAAGGGGGCAGTGCTACCTGGCATCTAGTGGGTAGGAGCCAAGGATGCTGCCACACACCTTACAATGCACAGAAAGGTGCCCACCACCAAGAGTTACCCAGCCCCAAATGTCAGTAGGGCTGCTGCTGAGGCATCCTGCTGCACAGAATCTCGGCACCAGTCCTTTTCCGTTGTAGTATGTGATACAGAGTCCTATAACTACGCACGAGGGTAGACAAGCCTAATGCCTGCCCACAAGTCCCTCTCATTACATCCATCAGGAGCAGGGCCCTTGGCTTGTCCTTCTCATGAACACATATCCCAGCTCTCACTCCAGTCCTTCCTGCAGTGCTAGGATGCAGGATCCTTAAATATGGGTCACGCTGTGAATGTGAGGCACGCTCTGCCCTTAGCTTCCCTTTTGCTTTATTTTTTTTTTTAAATAAATCGTTATTGTTCAGATTATTACAGATGTTCCTCTTTTTTTCCCCCATATCTCCCTTCCACCTGGTTCCCACCCCACCCCATACCCTTACCCCCACCACTGTCCTCATCCATAGGTGTAAGATTTTTGTCCAATCTCTTCCTGCAGCCCTCACTCCCCCTTCCCCCTGAGAATTGTCAGTCCACTCCCTTTCTATGCCCCTGCTTCTATTATATTCACCAGTTTATTCTGTTCATCAGATTTTTTTTATTGACTTAATTTTTAGATTCACTCGTTGATAGATATGTATTTGTTGTCGCTTTGTTGTTCATAATTTTTATCTTTACCTTTTTCTTCTTCTTCCTCTTCTTAAAGAATACCCTTCAGCATTTCATATAATCCTGGTTTGGTGGTGATGAACTCCTTTAGCTTTCTCTTGTCTGTGAAGCTCTTTATCTGGCCTTCAATTCTGAATGATAGCTTTGCTGGATAAAGTAATCTTGGTTGTAGGTTCTTGGTATTCATCACTTTGGATATTTCTTGCCACTCCCTTCTGGCCTGCAAAGTTTCTGTTGAGAAATCAGCTGACATTCGAATGGGTACTCCCTTGTAGGTAACTGTTTTTCTCTTGCTGCTTTTAAGATTCTCTCTTTATCTTTTTCCTTGGCATTTTAATTATAATGTGTCTTGGTGTGGTCCTCTTTGGATTTCTCCTATTTGGGGTTCTCTTCACTTCCTGGACTTGTAAGTCTATTTCTTTCATCAGGTAGGGGAAGTTTTCTGTCATTATTTCTTCTAATAGGCTTTCAATATCTTGCTCTCTCTCTTCTTCTGGCACCCCCATAATTCGGATGTTGGTACATTTGAAGTTGTCCCAGAGGCTCCTTACAGTATCTTCATGTTTTTGGATTCTTTTTTCTTTTTGCTTTTCAGGATGGGTGTTTTTTGCTTCCTCGTATTTCAAATCTTTGACTTGATTCTTGTGATCCTCTAGTCTGCTGTTGGATCTCTGTATATTATTCTTTATTTCAGTCAGTGTATGCTTAATTTCTGACTGGTCCTTTTCCATTTTTTTTGGCATTCTCATTAAGATCCTTGAAGGTCTCACTAAGTTCCTTGGAGGTCTCACTAAGTTTTTCAGAGGTTTGTAGAAGATTCTTGAGTAACCTTATAACTGTGGTTTTGAACTCTATATCCAGTAGTTTACTTTCCTCCATTTCTTTCATTTGTGACATGTTTCTTTGTCTCCGCATTTTGGCTGCTTCCTTGTGTTGATAGAGTGGCTTTGTGTGGTAGGTGTCCTATTGGGCCCAGTGGCTCAGCCTCCCCAATCACCTGAGGTAGACACTCTTGGTGCACCCCTTTGTGGGCTGGGTACACAGTCTTGTAGTTAAGCCTTGATTGCTGTTGGTATCCCTGGGAGGAAATGACCTCCAGGACAATTAACTGCGAAGACCCGCTGTGTCTATAGTGGAAGAACTGCTGTGCTGGAGACACCCTTATGGGGCAGGACTTGCTTCAGTGGGGCTTTGATGCTCACTGAGTCTGCCTCTTGAGTGTGTCACTTATAGATGTGAGGAGTTGAAATCTGGTATCTGACCACTGGGTACACTGGCTCCTGGATCTCCAAGGAGGTGGAAAGTCAGCCACTGTGTGAGTCCACCCAGCAGGAGCTACAGTGAGATCTGCATATTTCTCCTCTTTGTTTGGGGTTTGGAAGTTTTGGAGCTCTCTGACCCAGCAGCAGTTTGTTAGGTTAGGCTGCGAAAGGACAGGCAATTCATTTGCACCACTGTGCACAGCTTGGGTGGGGTTGTAAATTGGGTGGGGCGGGGTCTCAGGGAACCACCAGGGCAGAGCAAACAGCAATGGCTGTCAGTCAGCTGTCTCCACATCTCCCGTCTCCGCTTATAGGCATCTCTGCGTCCCGGAGTCCCCAAGTCCCGCGCCCCCACAGTAACAATGATCCCTGCAAGCAGCTCTGTGGGAAAGCCACCCTCACTTTCCAACCCACTGCCAGACAGTCGTTTCTCCCCATAGGAGTCTGGGTCCCCAGATTCTCGCCGGAAACGAGTTCAGTGCAGTCGGGAGCTAGTATCTCACTTCTGATTGAAAAAAACCACGCACCAAGGTGCAGTCATTTCGCGTGCCTCCGTAACTCTGCTCTTGGCGCCTCCGCCCAGTCTCAATGCACTTTTTTCTTCCCTTCTAGTTGTAGAACTTCCACTCAACCAGCTTTCCCGTGGTTCTGGCTGATAGCCGTTTTGTCTTTTAGTAGTAGTTTTAATGTGGTTGTGGGGGACTGTACAGGTATACACCTTATGCCGCCATCTTGGTTCTCTCCTCCCTTTCATTTTTGAGTGAAGAGCTGTGTGGCGAGGCTCACCAAATGCTACTTTCCAAATTTCCCTGTTGTCTGTCCTTTTTCTGCTTTACTTACAACCTTTTTATCCATTTTGATGTTCTTCTGTTTCTACTTCTTTTGTAATGCAATTGGCCTGTTTTATTGCCTATTAATCTATTTTCTATTTCATTACAAACCTTTCTTTAAGCTGTTTCATATTGGTTTTTTAGATAACATTCACATAACATAAATTAGTCATTTTAAAAGGAAGTATTTAGTAGCCTTTAGTACATCCACAGTGCTGTGCAGCTACCCCCTCTATCTAGTTCCAAATGTTTGTCATCGCCCTAAAATGAATCCCTGTACCTATTAAGCACTTACTTCCCATCCCCTCTTCTCCAGCCTCTGGAAATGACTAATCTGCTTTCTTTCTCTATACATTTACTTATTCTGGATATTTCATATAAATGGAATCATACAATATGGGGTCTCTTGCCCTGGCTTTGATCATGTAGCATAATGTTTTTGAGATCCATCCACATTGTAGCAGGTATTAGTATGTTCTTCCTTTTCATGGCTGAATAGTATTCCATTGTGTGGATATACCACTTGCAGCTTATCCATGAATCTCTTGTTGGACATTTGTGTTGTTTCCACTTTTAGCTATTATGAATAGTGCTATTTTGAGTATGTATGTACATGTATTGGTTTGAGTACCTGTTTTCAGTTCTGTAGGGTATATGCTGAGGAATGGAATTGCTGAGTCATATGGTAATTCCATGTTTAACTTTTTGAGAAACTGCCAAACTGTTTTCATAACAGCTAAACCACCTCTATGCTGTTTTTTTGTTTGTTTGTTTTTTACATGTGCATACTCATTGCAGCCATCTACTTTCACTAACTCCCCCAGAAGGTATCTATTTCCCTTCTTGGGTCTCCTGAAATCATGCCATTGATAACTTAAAGGTTCCAGATGTGCATTCCAAAGCTCAGGTAGCCATCCTTGAGGGTGGAGAACCAGCCTTGCACCCATACCAATGAAGTACTTTGACTAACCTAATGTTTGCCATGGTTTGGATACCAAAACTAAAAATCCCCAAGTTTGGAAAAAGGATGATTTTTTTTTACCATTGCAATAGTTATTCCTTTATTGTAATCCAGAGGTGTTTTTGGGTTTTTTTAATGCGCTATTTGGCTTTGTCATAACAGTATTTTCTTTTTTAATATTTTATTGATATTTTTACAGAGAGGAAGGGAGAGGGATAGAGAGTTAGAAACATCGATGAGAGAGAAACATTGATCAGCTGCCTCCTGCACACTCCCTACTGGGGATGTACCCGCAACCAAGGTACATGCCCTTGACTGGAATCGAACCTGCGACCCTTCAGTCCGTAGGCCGACGCTCTATCCACTGAGCCAAACCCAGTCAGGGCAACAGTATTTTCTTAAACGAGTGCAGTTCATGATGTTTTACGCAGCCTGTAATGGGAAGGACACTGGAAGCACTTGGGAATGGGGATTCTCTGTGACTCTTGCTGTTCTTCTCCACCCGCAGGTGTCCTTCTTCCTCTTCATCATCTTCGTGGTCTACACCATGCTGCCCTTCAACATGCGAGATGCCATCATCGCCAGCGTGCTCACCTCCTCCTCCCACACCATTGTGCTGAGCGTCTGCCTGTCTGCGACACCCGGGGCCAAGGAGCACCTGGTCTGGCAGGTAGGTAACCTTCCCCATCCTGCTGGGGGTGCCTGAGGTGCCACACGCCTGCTCAGAGTGTGGCTCTTCATACCTGGCAGGTGCTCAAGTTTTGCTCTCTGACCTTGACTCTGAGTATTGTTAATGAGTATCCAGCCACACACACCCCTTCATCAGTGGAACCAACAGTCACTTAGCAATTAGAAACAGTGAAAGTTGGAAATGGCAATTCCATTTTGCTGATTGCTGAATGGCGGTGTGATTTTGATGGTTAAAAGCTATTCTCATTATACATTATAATTTAGTGCTCTTATTTTTAGAGTGAACTGACTTCTGCAATTAAATTCATAATTCTCTCCTACCTGTCTTTACAGAGGACAAAAGATTTATCCATTTCTAATCTTCTGGCAGGTCCATGGACATTTTTAAAAAGTTTTTTAAAAACGTGATAACAGCAAATTTAGCTTTACTAATAAGTGGTATTTCAAAGAAGCCACCCATTTAGTTAGTTAAAAGCATTTGAAAGGCAATTTGATATTTTGTTATGTGCATCTGTAGACACGAGGGTCAGGAGTTTAGAGTAATTTCTAACAGTCTTTTTATTTTTACCTGTAAAAGGTGTATTTTATTTTGCTCTATTGGAATCAAATGTAAGAGATGCAGCCATGGTGCAAAGTGCATCAGGGGGAGAAGTAGTGAAGAACAGTACTATCATCGTAAAGGGGATTTAAGATGTGGGTCACCTGAGCCCTATGGGGTCTTAGAAACTAGTTGTCATGTGCTTGATGGGGTTTTTTATTTGGAAACATGAGACAGACCTGGAGGCTGACCCTTGGGTCTGTAGTAATCTCTCTTAGTTGGAAAGCTTTCTAGGGATCGATTGCTTTTCCCAGTATTTCTCTCCCATCGTTTAAAACACAATGTTCATAAAAAGCAGCCTGTGTTTGTGAAACATCCTCTGGGCACTGAGCCCCTGTGAAGGCAACGGCCCCTGATTTTGCACAGTGGGCTCCAGGTTCATGGTGACTTGTTCAGATATTGCTAAGAAGAGTCCACCCCCAGGAAGCAGAGGAAAGCCAGGTTTTTCGTCAGTGCAATCCCACTGACCGAGCAGAGTAGACACATGCCTGTAACCTGCACGCCTGACACAGATGGAGGCCAGTCAGTAGCTAATCAAATGAAAGAATGAAGGTGGGTGTTTTAAAAGAAGAAACAACCCAGCCGTGCCTAGAGGAGGTAGGAGACGCTCCTCTGCCCCAGCTTTTGCTTCCTTTTTCTGCATTTCTGAGCCTCCCTTGAGGTTATTTATGGGACATTTTTCTTTCTCCCATAAATTCCACTCTTCCACCCACCCTTTACTAGGGCCATTACGCTCAGCCTGAGGTGGTCCCATGCAGGGCCAGGCAGCGGGTGTGTTTTTGCCTGTTGACATTATGAAATCACGGCAGGAAAGTCTTCCTCACATTGCAACAAGCACTCAAACATGTCTCCTGGCCCCCAGCACCTTTCTGGTTTGGGTTACCATGGAATGCATCCCTTGAACATTTTATACCTGCCTTTTCTGCCCCTTGTTGGAGCAGATGTCATAGGAAAATATCTGGGAGATGAAGATTATAATGCCTGTCTACTTACATTTTCAGTGATTATTGATGTATGATTAAATAGGATTTTTTTAAAGGAAAAAGTAAGTTGCTTTGCAAAGAACCTGGCATATTCTAGCTCATAAAGAACCATATGGAGTTTTTTTAAAGCACTTTGATTTTCTTTTATTAGTGAAAATATAATGAAGGGAAAGAATGTAATCTTACATTTTTATTTATTAACTTTCCAAAGCCAACAACAAAAAATACTTGTCACTAGACAGCCAGATAATATAATCCTGAAATAATAAAAAGATTAATACTTCTTCATTTTATAGTATTTCATATAAGAATACCATTGAAAGGAACGGAAGAACATAAGGTCAGTCTTCCATCCTTTTAGGAATACTTTCACTGGGAAAGGCAAAATATGTCAGTAGACTTAAAATGGAAGGTTCCTGGGTAGACATCAAAATAATGAAGAAAAGAGCTGAAACTATAACTGAAAAATAGCACTGGTTTGTGTTGCAGGAAAAACACTTTATTGAATTGTTTTAATGAAAATGTGTGTAAGAATGCTACAGATTGCTGTGGTGTAATTGTTCAGAGAATATTGGTTTGATAGAAGAGCTAACCCATCAGTGATGATCAATATCACCCTGCCTTCTAAACCATCAATGAAAGAGTGTATTTTATTGAGCATGGACCCATACTAAAGAGTTTTGTTTCATTTTATTTTTTGAACATTGTCAGCCCATTGATAACATGTAGTACTTATCTGTTAACCAAAATACTGACTTGATAGGAAATCTAACCTTAGCCCCCTTTCCTGTTGAGTAGCGGAGTTTGCTATTCTAGGGAAATTCATCTTACCAGCATTTGTCCTGAAGTAAAATTCATCCTAAGACTATGATATATCATCTAATTGAGGAAACGTAGTTAATAACTGAAAATTATGAATGATATTTCCTAACATATTTACATATGATGTTTAATTTTTAGTTTTGTGTCCCAACATACGGTCTATCCTTGAAATGTTCCATGTGCCCTAGAGAATGTATAACCTGGTGTCCTGGGATAAAAGGCTCTGTAAATGTCAATTATGTTCATTTGGTCTAATGTGTCATTTAAGGCCATTATTTCTTTATTGATTTTCTGTCTGAATGATAAATCTATGCCTGTTAATTGGGTATAATTGTTTTTTGTCAGTTTTTCCTTTTAGTTCTTTTAGTAGTTGTTTTATATATTTTGATGCTTCCTGATTGGGTGCATATATATTGAAAAGTGTTATGTCTTCTTGATGTATTATTATAAAATGTCCATCTTTGTTTCTTGTTTGTTTGTTTTTTATCTTGAAGTCTATTTTGTCAGATATAAGTATGGCTACACTCACTTTTCTCTGGATGCCTTTTGCTTGGAAAATCATTTTCTATTTTGAATCTATATTTATCCTTTCAGCTGAAATGTGTCTCCTGAAGGTAGTATGCAGTTGGGTTTTGTTTTTTGTTTTTTTTATCTGCTCTGTGCCTTTTTATTGGTGAATTCAATCCACTTACATTTATGGTGATTATTGATGTATGAGGATTTCCTATAGCCTTTTTATGGCTTGTTTTTCTGATATAATCCTAGTACATTTTTTACTTTTACTTTGAAACAATCATAGGTCTGCCAATAAGTTGCCAATCCAGTACAGAGAATCTTTTCTTCCCCGTAAGCCATTTCAAGGTAAGCTGCCAATCTGATATCCCATCACCCAAATGCCTTAGTGTATATTTCCTACAGTGCCATGCTCTACATAACCATACAAAATCCGGAAATTCACATTGTCTATTACTATCGTTCAGGTTCCTTCATCTTTCCCATTAATGTCCTTTGAAGCAAAAGACAGAGCAGAAACACACTGCACTGTGATCTCAGGTCTCTTTGGTCTCTTTCAGTCTGGGACGATTGCTTAGTCTTCCTTAGCTTTCATGATCTTACCACTTTTGAAGATTGCAGACCAGCTATTTTGTACAATGTACTTCAGTTTGGAGTGTCTGATGTTTCCTCCTCAAGAGGGGGAAGTCATGTCTTGTTGGCAGGAATCACAGACATGATGGTGTCTCTGCATCACATTCTATCAGGGCTGCATAATTCCATTTTGCCCCATTACTTATGGGGGTCATTAGGATGATGGTGCTGTCCATCAGGCATTTCTTCTTTGACATGACTCTTTTCCTCTTTGTGATTAATATATGTGGAGAGGTACTTTGAAACTAGGCAGATGCCATTTTCTTTACTTATTTATATCTACAATGTTTTGTGTTTTCTATTTTAGTCAATAGATTATAAACCATGGTGAATGTTGATTTTGTTGTCCATATGGTCTCAGATTTGTCCTCTGGGCACCCCTTTAAGCTGGTTTCAGTGTCCTTTTGTTGTGTCCCCATCCTTGCTTTCTGGCATAATACGATGTTGCAGGTTCATCTTGTGCTTTCCCTGCCCTGGCCGTAAAGCCAGCCTCTCTCCAAGGAGTCCTGGTTCTTTTTAGTGAAGAATAACATTTGGAGGCAAGATCTGAACTTTGTGTCTTATCACTGGGTTGTCAATACTCCAAGGCCCAGAGTACATTTACATCTGTGTGTGTGTGTGTGTGTGTGTGTGTGTGTGTGTGTGTGTATTCATATTCCATTTGGTATAATGTGTCATTTAAGGCTGATATTTCCTTATTGATTTTCTGTTTGAATGATCCATCCTTACCTGTCAATGGGTTAGTTAGTCCCCCATATAAAAGTATATACTGATTTATTAAACACAAGACTTCACACAGATATTTCCATTTTCAGCTCACCATACATTTCACGACAGTTTTCTCCCTTTTTAATATGGCTACCTTGACCAATAGTGAAAAAAAATGTAGCTCCCTTGATCCTTAATATATTGACTTATCTGATGAATCCAGGTATATAACCAGTCTCTTATTTCAGTTTCCACCCCTCCATCTGCACTGGTGCCTTGTCACTGGCCCAGCTTCCCATCCCCAGCCACATCCCACTCCCCCAGCTCAGGCTCTGTTCCCTGTGCTTGGCTCTCCCCTCTGTAGACACTCTGACAGACAGCCCACTTTGTCACTGTGGGTGAATTTGGTTTCCCGTGTCCTGTGGGTACAAATGCTTCCTTGCTGTGCATTGGCTGAGCAGTGAGTTCTTTGGGAGGGAAGGAAAAGGACAAGAAGGGCAGGGAAAGAGGATGGGACAAGCAAGAGGAAGTGAAGCAACACGTTTTAAACAGGGGTTATTTATTAAAGAGAAAGAGATTCTTTTTAGTTACTTTCTGTGATTCCCTTTGTACAGGTTGCAACAACTTTTCTTCTAATTGTTTTCTATTTTTTTTCCCAACTGCGTTTCAAAGAAAAGATTTCTGGAATCTGCATTTATTAAGGGAATCTGGAATCCCTTAATAATAAAGGTTAGAAAATATTTAAGTATCTGGAAACATAAATAAAAGCATTTTTATATTATTTGTGTAAGAATATTTTATCTATCATAAATTTAGCATAAGAATGAAAAGCTCTTACCAATTTATAATTAACTAGGAAATAAGTTTGCTTATATTAGTAGCATAACATGCATTTGACTAAAAGTTCCACAAGAGTAGTGAAGAGTCATTTCTTGTTATTATATCAATGCAAAAGGAAAGGGAGGCTAGGAAAACCCAGTGAAGCCTCTCACCCGATGCCCTGGTGGCTGCTCCCTGGTTGAGCCCTTGGGGGTGTCAGTTATGCAGCCCTTAAACCAGTGATGGCGAACCTATGACACGCATGTCAGAGGTAACATGCGAACTCATTTTTTTGGTTGATTTTTCTTTGTTAAATGGCATTTAAATATATAAAATAAATATCAAAAATATAAGTCTTTGTTTTACGATAGTTGCAAATATCAAAAAATTTCTATATGTGACATGGCACCAGAGTTAAGTTAGGGTTTTTCAAAATGCTGACACACGGAGCTCAAAAGGTTCGCCATCACTGCCTTAAACAATAGTAGGAACCTGGCCAGGAATCTTGCCTCCCAGACAGAGGCAGTGGATCCATTGATTAGTTGCTTGGTCTGGCCTGCAGCCTGTGCCTGTATAACACTAATTTCATTTTAAATATACATTTTTTCTATTCTCCATCTGCTAAACTTCTGTAGATCAGCATGGCTGTCAGCAGGATGCTGACCCATCCTCAGGAATTTTCAGATATTCCTGTTTATATATCACAGTTGCATTTTATATTTGAAACAGACTTACCCTTCTTAATTTTTATTTCCTTGGTATTTATATGTAATGAGTTTTCATTTCATATAAGTTTTATTTTCCCATGAGAGATGGAGGAATTTGAATATAGATTTACTGAAGCAAGCCAGTTAAATGAAAATCCATATTTATTAAAGAAGATAAACTAAGCTGTGTTTATTGATTTTCTAACAGGATTACTCACTCAATTTTACAGAAATTATATAGGATTCTTTTACACGGTGGATACTTTAATATCTTTAAGTTGTGATATAATTGGAAAAATTTTAGATAAGACCTAAAATAGAAAAGATAGCCTCTCATCTATGGCAGGCGTGTAATCAGTAGTAATGCGGATTTGTTACATAACTGATTCTTTTTCAGTATAATTCAGGAACTGTATATTGGAGTCTGGAATTAAATTGCATTTAGCATCTAATCTGAGAAGCTCAAAGGGAAAACAACAGGTTACCAGCTGCCTGGTTCCTGGCTGTGGAAGAGACTAATTGTTAGGAATTTTGATCTCTGTTCCTACTGTTTTGTTTTTAGAGAAACACAAGATATTAATATGTTCTGCCAGTGGGGGGGAAGGAGACTGTACCACTGTTCATTCTGTGTAGCATCAAGCTATTGATTGAGTATGATCAACCTTCTATTTTATAAGTTAGCATTTATCTTTTCTAAAAACTATCTTTTATCTGTTCTAAGGATTATTATTTAGAACAGTGGTTCTCAACCTTCCTAATGCCGCGACCCTTTAATACAGTTCCTCATGTTGTGGTGACCCCAAACCATAAAATTATTTTCGTTACTACTTCATAACTGTAATTTTGCTACTGTTATGAATTGTAATGTAAATATATCTGATATGCAGGATGTATTTTCATTGTTACAAATTGAACATAATTAAAGCATAGTGATTAATCACAAAAACAATATGTAATTATATATTCAATATGTGTTTTCTGATGGTCTTAGGCGACCCCTGTGAAAGGGTCATTTGACCCCCAAAGGGGTTGCGACCCACAGGTTGAGAACCGTTGATTTAGAAGGAGTGGGAATAAGCATGGAGAAGAGGTAAAAACAGGCAAGTGCTTAATGTGTCTAAATCCTAAAGCAAATCTAAATGCATCTCAAAGTCCTCTCCTTTCTCCTTCCTTATCCTTCCCAAGCCCAGCAGATGAAACCCCTTCTCCTCTAAATGGCAGGAAATGTGTCCCATCGTCCCACCAGGGAAAGTTCAGTTGGTTGGGCAAGTGAACAACAACAAACATTAGTGCTTCCCTGCAGGACACCAAATTACTTTTAAAATGCTCTGGCAATTTTTAGAATGAAACTATCAGAATGTTGGAGACAGAAAATTTTCATGTCATTCATGGACTATTTTACTCTCATGGTGGAATAGTGGAAGTTTATATTCCAGCATTTATGGGGCTGCTTGTGGGAGAGGATAGAAGGAGCAGAGGTAAAGGGAAGCCCTATCAGACCATAAGTTTTGTTTTGAAAATATTTGATCAAAGGAGCATCAAAAAGAAAGGTTTCTTGAAAAAATGAACAATGATGGTTTGTCCCCTATCAGCTGCCTCTACTTTTTGTTCAAAGCAATAGTTTCATGTCAAATATGATACATTATTACAGATTTATTAAATGTTCTATCCATCTTGGCCCAATGCAGGGCAGTTCTGATGGGTCATTTTAGCTCTAGAGCTTTTGTTTTTGTCTGAAGTTGTCAAGTCTGCATCACAGCTCAGTGTTTCCCTCTGACCAGATTGGCTTCCTTTCCTCCCCACGGGCATTGAGCCAAAGAGCACTCCCGAATCAATGGTGAACTGTTTCAGAATGTGCTTCCTGGAGGACCATATGGCCACATTGCCCGCACTTGGGCTGATTCTTTAGTCAGTTTTCTCATCTGTAAAATGGCAAGGGTAATGCCAGACTCCCTCGATTGTTGCTGGCCTTGGTGCTGAATCAGTGAACTCACATGTGGGAAGAACCTGTTACCAAGCTGGGCTGATCCTTAGCCCTCAGTGGACAGTAGGCAGTGGCAGCAGTAATGTATTTTGCTAGATATAAATGACTTTTGCGGAAGCTAAGAGAAGTGGAACATAAAAATGCTTTGGAGTTGAATTCCAAATGGTCTATAGAGTTGAGTAGGGCAGGAATTGCACATGTAAGTCCCTTAGGGACTACGTCTGGTGTGGTTGACCATCCTGCAGTGTGCCCCACCCAGACTCAAGGCAGTGAGCTTCATCCTCGTGAGGCACTGGAAGCCCACATTCCACTAATGAGTGGAGTTGGAAAGTTTTACTAATGCCTGAAAGTCTGAGCTCCTGTAGGTTAATAGAACACCTGGTATTAAAAACCCTGGAGACACGGTTCGTCTCTTGTCAGAAGTGAGAAGGAGAAATAAAAAATGGGGCATTAACTGAGTCACTTGCCACTGGGACATCTTGGACTATTTTCGGAAGTGTTCCCCAGAGAAGCCGGATGCTGTTCCCAAGCCTACTTTGGGGTTGCGCATTTCTCCTCACTCAGACCAGCACATGGCACCTTTATAGGATGGATCTGACCATCCTATGTCTCAGATTTCTGGTCATGGAGACATGCACGGATACACCTACTTGTCCCCGAGAGGCCTCCTACCAACATTCCCTCAATTGAAGACCAGGGACTTGGCTTTCACACCTCTTGGTGGGCCCTCAGCTTGAAGTGGTCCCCCTCTGCTTCCTTTCTGATGTCTCCAGCCTCCACCAGGAGGGTAGTCAACATGTCTTTTCTCTGCTTCCTGCCACTGGGCCCTACTTACATATGGAGGCCCTACACCCACTTTGGAGTCTGGTGGTTCTATTGATTTTATAATTTTGTTGAAAATATAAATTACATATGGATATTCCAGGCCCTTTAGTATTCTGGATAAATTGTAGGTAAAGAAGAAATGTTACCTTTGTCTGTCAAGCTGGAAATATTTAGTCTTTAATAATTTCTTTGGTTTCTTACAATTTTACCTTCTATGCCATGTCTGAGCCTCAAACTCTAAGTCAAGATATGGGCCAAGAATGGGATGGGAAAGAAAGAAAGGACAGATAAAGAGACAAAACAGAGTTTTATTACATGGGTTGGTGTCTTAGAAGGTCAGGTTCCCATAACAAGTTTCCATAGACAGGTTGGCTTAAATAACAGAAATTTTTCTCACAGTTTTGGAGACTGGAAATCTGAGATTAGGATGCTAACATGGCTAGGTTCAGATGAGAACTCTCTTGCTGGGTGGCCGAAAGCTGCTTTCTCATTGTGTCCTCACATGGTGTGTGGGGAGGGGGGGTGGTGTCTCTTTTTATAAGGACAATAGTCCTGTTGGGTCAGAGCTCCACCCTTGTAACCTCATTTTACCTTAATTACTCTGTTACTCCAAATATAGTCCCATGGTCACATCGGGGGTTAGGACTTGGACCATTCAGTCCAAAGCAGTGGGTTTGTCTGTTTTTCTCAACGTTTAGCAGGCCTGTCTCGGCGTTGTCTGAAGAACTCATACTACAAAGTCTTACGTTTGATTCTGCAGCATTCTCACTCTCCTTTCTTCTTTTGATTTGTTCTGCCAGGAGACAGACCTGAGTAGACCAGGAGCAGAGCTAAGGTGGTGAAAGGGTCAGTACCCTTGGCCCTCAGTGTCCAGGGGGAATCACTGATCTGGAGATGAGGGTTGAGGTGATGGGAGCCCTCTCCTCACTCCCCATGCTCCCAGAGCACCTGCCCTTTGTTCTTCTTCTTATTTTCTACAGGAATTATCACATCATATGTCAACATGCTCATTTGTCTGTATGTCCTCCTACCACACATTCCCTGGGCCTTGAATCTGTGACAGGGTTCAGAGCTTTTTAATATTTGTATTTGTCCCAGCACCAAGGGTACATAATATTAAATGGATGTGTGCATGAATAAACCCATGAGGGATTGAGTGTATGGGTGCAAAAATGCATGGCCCAGTGTAGGGACATTGTAAACATCCAGGTACCTTGGATATCACCAAACAAGGGAAAGAATGGACCGTTCCATCTCGGTGCACCATCTCTGAGCATGATGGCTGACTGTAAAGAAGGTGAGGTTGTGGTGTCTTTTAAAGAGAATCCAAAAGAGTGACAACAATCCCAATGTCCTTAAACCTTTATGTCATTCTCTGTTTTCAAGGCAAATCA